ATCTGCTTTTGATACTGTTTTTTTTTTTGTTTTTCTGATATGCCAAAATGTATTTATACATCTTAAATGTAAAATGTAGTCCTGCTGTTGAAAACTTGTTAACCCATATAGCATATAGTCATAATTTCAGTGATTGTAATGCATAATGAATCAAATTTTTGTCTGCATTTGAAATTTCTATCTACATAGGCATTTTGCTAAAGAACTGTGTATTAAGACTTCCAGTTTTTCCTAGTACTTATACAGATTTAATGTGAACACTACTCTTTAAGGTAGACAGGGAGAGCATTTTGTTGCTTCAGCCCTACACATGGGTAACAGTACTAAATAAGTAATTTACCTAAGGTAATACATCAAGAGGGTATATAGAGCCCAGGTCTCTTGATGGCTTGTTAGAATTTTTTCTTTCTTTTTTCTTTTTTGTGACAGGGTCTCACTCTGTTGCTCAGGCTGGAGTGTAGTGGTGCGATCTCTGCTCACTGAAGCCTCCGCCTCTTGGGTTCAAGCAATTCTCCTGCCTCAGCCTCCCAAGTAGCTGGGATTATAGGCACCCACCACCACACCTGGCTAATTTTTTGTATTTTTAATAGAGACGGGGTTTCACCACATTGGTCAGGCTGATCCCGAACTCCTGACCTCAAGTGATCCACTTGCCTTGTCTTCCCAAAGTGATGGGATTACAGGCGTGAGCCACCACATCTATCTTAATAGGATTCCTATGAAACTATGCTTCCTGTTTGACAAGGTGGTGAATTACAAGGTTTAAAAGCAAAGGCTTGTTTCTTACATACTCAGTCATAAAAAGGAATGAAGTAATGGCATTCGCAGCAACCTGGATGGAATTGGAGGCCATTATTCTAAATGAAGTAACTTAGGAATGGAAAACCAAACATCATATATTCTCACACTTAAGTGGGAGCTAAGCTATGAGGATGAAAAGGCATAAGAATGATACAATGGACTTTGGGGACTTGGAGGAAAGGGGAAATGATGGGAGTGGGGTGGGGGATAAAAGATCACAAACTAAGTAAGGTGTACACTGCTCTAGTGATGAGTGCACCAGAATCCCACAGATCACCACTAAATAACTTATTAGTGTAACCAAACACCACCTGTTTCCCAAAAACCTATTGAAATAAAAAAAATAAAAATAAAAATTTGTTAATTGTGGAAAAAAAAGAATAGGGCATCAGTCTGAAAAGGTAGATAGAGTCATATAGGAAATTGTGCATTGTGTCAATAATGTTGAACTCTAAGTGCCGGAGAACCATATGGAACTTTAAGCAAGGAGATTGTTTGATCTGACTTGTATTTTAGACAATTCATTTCAGTGACCCTGTAGCCTAAAATGAAAGTGGGGAGGCTTGGATGCCAATTAGAAAACTTGTAATATTCTAGGCAAAAAAGAAAAAAAAAAGTTAAGAGAGGTAAAGTGGTAGAACTGGGAAGGGAGAAAAGAGAATTTTATGAGATAGTTTATCAGTTCCCAATCAAAAGTGTGGGGTAAAGAGCCCTGGAATAATGTTTTCTGGTTTGAGTGGTTTGGGTTGTTTTATAACATCTGTTGCACCATGCATAATCTTTCATGGTTTACCAAATCTGTTTTGCTCTTCTATGCCTTCTTGTTGCATAAGCTGATTCTTTTTGTCTGGAATTCTTTTTTTTTTTTTAACTTGCCTTTTGAAAGCACCTACTCATCTTTTAAGACCTAGGTTAAATGTCAGACACTTCAGGAAGCCTTTCCCAATTCTTTTCTTTGAGATCAAGAGAACAGAATATGTATTTCTACATATATCTATGTTACATTTGATCATGTTGAGTTATGGTCAAGTTATTGAACTAAAGAGCTGCTGCCCAGCAAAATAAACTACCATCCGAGTGAAAAGACACCTAAGGAATAGAAGAAAATTTTCGCAATCTATCCATCTGACAAAGGTTTAATATCCAGAGTCTACAGGTAACTTAAACAAATTTACAGAAAAAGAAACAACTCTTAAAAAGTGGGCAAAAGACATGAACAGGCACTTTTCAAAAGGAGACATACGTGTGGCCAACAAACATGAAAAAAAGCTCAATGTTGTTGATGATTACAGAAATGCAAATCAAAACCACAATGAGACACTATCTCACACCAGTCAAAATGTGTTTATTAAAAAGTCAAAAAAAAAAAAAAAAACCCCAGCAGATTAACCATTGTGGAAGACAGTGTGGTGATTCCTCAAAAACCTAGAGGCAGAAATACCTGTAGACTTGGATAAAGAAAATGTGGTACATATACAACATGAAATACTATGCAGCCTTAAAAAGAAATAAGATCATGTCCTTTGCAGGGACATGGATGGAGTTGGAAGCTGTTATCTGTAGTAAACTAATGCAGGGACAGAAAACCAAACACCACTACTTAGGAGCTGAATGATGAAAACACATGCACATATCAGGGGAACAACACACATTGGGGCTGTCGGGTGTGATGGGGGAGGGAGAGCATCAGGAAGAATAGCTAATGGATGCTGGAATTAATACCTAGGTTGATGGATAATCTGTGAAGCAGACCACCATGGCATATGTTTACCTATGTAACAAACCTTCACATAACTGCACATGTACCCATGAACTTAAAAGTTGAAAAAAATCACAAATGCACAAGATACCATGAGTGAAAATTAGCAGAGCAAATAAGCAGTAAGAGTTACTTGAATTGTCAGATGCAGAATATAAAATGAATGTTTAATATGTTAAAATAAAAGGTAAGCTGGTCTCAAACTCCTGACCTCAAGTGATCTGCCTGCCTTGGCCTCCCAAAATGCTGGGATTACAGGCATCAGCCACTGTGCCCAGCCATTAATTTTTTTTTTTAGATTGTTCACTGTTGGTATATAGAAATGCTACTAATTTTTGTATGTTGATTTTGTATGAATTACTTTGTCAGCTATAATGGTTTTTTAGTTTAGGTTTTTCTAAATATAGGATCACGTTGTCTGCAAAGGAAGATAATTTGACTTCTTCCTTTCCAGTTAGGATGTGGTTCATTTCTTTCACTTGCCTAATTGCCCTGTCTAGGATTTCCAATATTATGTTGAGTAAAAGTGGTGGAAGTGGGCATCTTTGTCATGTTCCAGACCTTAAAAGAAAGCCTTTTAATTTTCCCCATTCAGTGTTATATTAACTATGGATTTGTCATATATGACTTCTACTGTTTTGAGGTATGTTCCTTTTATATACCCAGTTTGTTGCATATTTTTGTTATGAAGGAACATTGAATTTTATCAAACACTTTTTCATCATCAATTGAAATAATCATATGGTTTTTGTTCTTGATTCCTATAAAGTGATATGTATTTGAGTTTCGGTTCTAGTTTTATATTTTCTGAAAAAGCCATATCTATAATATTTTGGGATTTTTCCCCTTAATCTTTTTTTTTTTTTTTTTTTTTTTGAGATGGAGTTTCGCTCTTGTTACCCAGGCTGGAGTGCAATGGCGCAATCTCAGCTCACCACAACCTCTGCCTCCTGGGTTCAGGCAATTCTCCTGCCTCAGCCTCCGGAGTAGCTGAGATTACAGGCATGCGCCACCATGCCCAGCTAACTTTTTGTATTTTTAGTAGAGACGGGGTTTCACCATGTTGACCAGGATGGTCTCGATCTCTTGACCTCATGATCCACCTGCCTCGGCCTCCCAAAGTGCTGGGATTACAGGCGTGAGCTACCGCGCCCGGCCCATATTGCTTTTTATAGATGTATAATCTTTAATTATATGTTCTTTTGAAAAAAATCTACTTTTCCATTGATGAACACTTTGGTTATTTCCAGATTTTTCTCTAGTGAATGATACTACTATGAACTTTCTTGTATATGTGTCCTGTTTTACAATTGTCAGAGTTTCTTTTGATATAGGAAACTCTGCTGCTGTATAGTCAAATTGCTGGATCATATAGCATGTGAATGTTCAACTTTAAAAGGTAATGCCTAACTGTTTCCCAAATGATTTATTCTCCAGATCTTCCCCAATATTTTGTATCTCAGACTTTTAAGTTCTTCCCAATTGATGTCGTTTAAAATAGTATTGCATTGTGATTTTGATACGATTTTCCCTGATCACTAATGGTGAGCAGCCTATATATGGGTATTGGCCAGATATGTTTCCTCACTCAAGTTTCTGCTCATCTTCCCATTAGGTAACTTATCCTTCCCTTATTGGTTTGTTGTTGTCATTCACTTATTATTGATCCAAATTATTCATGGACGTTATTGAAAATACCTTCTCGTAACTTATCTTTTCATGTTTTTGAAGATATGTTTTGAGGAACAATAGTTATGAACACCAGTTATTCAGACATTAGTACTTTTAAAAATTGACAGATCTTGTATCTTATTAAAAGATAAGATTTTAGTACTAAGGTTTAAAAATATTTACCCCATATTTTATTTGTTTTACATTTTTAAAATTTCAACTTTTATTTTAGATCCAAGGGGTATATGTGCACATTTGTTACATGGGTACATTGGATGACACTGAGATTTGGGGTACAAATGGTCCTGTAACCTACATAGTGAGCACTGTACCCAATAGGTAGTTTTTCAGCCCTTGCCCTAACCATTAGTCCTCTGCCTGCTGTCCCCATCTTTTTGTCCATGTGTACTCAATGCTCCGCTTTCGTTCCTGCATTAATTTTCTTAGGATAATGTCCTCCAGCTGCTTCTATGTTCTTACAAAGCACCTGATTTTATTATTTTTATGGCTATGTAGTGTTTCATGGTGATATAGGTACCACATTTCCTCTCTCCAATCCACCCTTGATGGGCACTTAGTTTGATTCTATGTCTTTGCTTTGTGAATAATACTGCAATGAACATACGAGTGAGTAAGTCGTTTTGGTAGAAGGGTTTATTTTCTTTTGAGTATATACCCAGTAATGGGATTGCTGGGTTGAATGGTAGTTCTGTTTTAAGTTCTTTGAGATATTGCCAAACTGCTTATTTATTTATTTATATTTTGGGGGGGGTACCAAATTTCTTTATTTGAAGGAATGGTACAAAGAACTTAAGTGGATGTTTTGGTACAACTTATAGAAAAGGTAAAGGAAACCCCAATATGCACGCACTGCCTTGGTGACCAGGGAAGTCACCCCGTGGCTATGGGGAAATTAGCCTAAGGCTTAGCTTTCATTATCACTGTCTCCCATGGTGTGCTTGCCAAAGAGATATTCTGCCAAGCCAGATTGGCGTGCTCCCATCTTGCGCAAGTTGGTCACGTGGTCACCCAATTCTTTGATGGATTTCACCTGCTCATTCAGGTAATGTGTCTCAATGAAATCACAGAAATGGGGCTCATTTTTGTCAGTGGCCAGTTTGTGCAGGTCCAGTAGTGACTGATTCACATTTTTTTCCAAATGTAATGCACACTCCATCGCATTCAGCCCCCTCTCCCGGTCGTCATGGTCTGATTTCTGGATATCCTGAAGGAAGATGTGGCCACCTCATTTGTTCTGCAGCTTTCTCAGTTTCTCAGCATGTTCCCTCTCCTCATGAGACTGGTGAAGAAAGTACTTGGCAAAGTTCTTCAAAGCCACATCATCGTGGCCAAAGTAGTAAGACATGGACAAGTAAACACAGTAGGCGCAGAGCTCCATGTTGATTTGGCTGTTGATGGCGGTCTGTGAGTCCCGGTGGCAGTTCTGGCGCACCTGCGAGCAGGACACAGTAGTCATGACCGGGGCTAAGGAGAGGCGGAGGCGCGGTGGCGGTGGCTGCGGGCGCTGGAGCCGCGGCGGGGACCTTGGGGCGGTCCGAGGGCGCGGTGTGCAGGTGACTGAGGGCTGGATGTGGGTGGCCGGTCGGGGTGGGGGACGAGCGCCGGTTCTGTCCAAGCGCTGTTGAAGCAGGAAACTGCAGGGACTCCCAGGGAAGAACTTCTGGCCAAAACTGTTTTTTTTTTTTTTTTTTTTTTTTTTTTTTAAATAAAGAGACCGGGTTTCACCATGTTGGCCAGGCTGATCTCGAACACCTGACCTCAAGTGATCCACCCGCCTCGGCCTCCCAAAGTGCTGGGATTACAGGCGTGAGCCATCGCGCCTGGCCCAAACTGCTTTTTAAAGGGGCTGAACTAATTCACATTCCCACCAACAGTGAATAAACGTTTCCTTTCCTCCACAGCTTCATCACCATCTGTTATTTTTTGACTTTTTAATAATAACCATGATGATTCATGTGGGATGATACCTCATTGTGATTTTGATTGCATTTCTCTGATGTTAGCGATGTTGGGCATTTTTTTCATGTTTGCTGGCCACTTGTCTGTCTTTTCTGAAGAAGTGTCTGTTTATGTCTTTTGCCCACGTTTAAATGGGATTATTTGTTGTTTGCTTGTTGAATTGTTTAAGTTCTTTATAGAGTCTGGATATTAGACCTTTCTCAGATGCATAGTATGTGGAGATATTCTCCTGTTCTGTAGGTTGTGTGTTTAGTCTATCGATAGTTTATTTTGCTGTCCAGAAGCTCCTTAGTTTAATTAGGTCCCACTTGTCAATTTTTATTTTTGTCTCAATTGTTTTTGAGGACTTAGTTATAAATTCTTTTCCATGGCTGATGTCCAGCATGGTATATCCTAGGTTTTCTTCTAGGATTCTTAGTTTTGAGGTCTTATATTTAAATCTTGAATCCATCTTGAGTTAATTTTTGTATATGGTGAAAGGTAGGTGTTCAATTTTATTCTTTTGCATATGGGTAGCCAGTTATCTCAGCATCATTTATTGAATAGGGAGTCCTTTCCCCATTGCTTATTTTTGTTGACTTCCTTGAAAGTCAGATGGCTGTAGGTGTATGGCTTTATTTCTGGGTTAGCCGTCCTTTCCCATTTACCCTGTATTTTATACTAAGAGTTTTAAACTGTTATTCCTGAATTTAATTCCTCAGTCCATTTGGAATTGATTTTTGTAGATGGTCTGTGGTAAGAATTCAATTTCATTTTTTTCCATGTGATAATCATTTTTCTTGCTCAATTTATTAAACAATCAACCTCTCCTTTTCATACTGATCATGAAGTCCATATTTATGATATGAAAGTGTTCCTAACATGCGTGGATTTTTAGGATCTCAGTTTTATTTCATTGGCCAATTTATTTATCCCTGAACTAATACCACACTGTTTTTATTACAGCTCTATAACAAATCCTGGGGGGCGGAGGTTGCAGTGAGCTGAAATTGTGCCATTGCACTCCATTCTGGGCAACAAGAGCAAAACTCCATCTCAAAAACAAACAAACAAATACATAAATAAAATAAATCCTAATATCTGATCCCCTCTCTGCTTTTCTTATCAGGTATTTTGGTTATTCTTCACCCCCTTTTCTTTCATATGTATTTTAAAAATAGCTTTATTGAACTCTAATCCAAGAATTCAGCTGTTTAATGTATACAATTGAATAGTTTTTAGTATATTCAAAGATATGTGCCATCATTGCCACAATCAATTTTAGAGTGTTTTCAGTACCTCAAAAACAAAAAACAACAACAAAAAAACCCCACACCCTGACAAACTCTCTCACTCTAACCCTGCCCAATCCTAAGTAACTACTAATCTACCTTCCCTCTATAGATTTCCCTGCTCTGGACTTCTGCACAAATATGTGGACTTTATGGTTGGCTTCTTAATGGATTTTTAGAGTTTGTGTAAGTACCATATATTACGACTTTATTTCTTTTTATGACTACATAATATTCCATTGTATGAATATAACTATGACTAAATAATATTGCATTATATGAATATACCACATTTTTATCCATTTACTTGTTGCTTAACATTTGTGGTGGTGTTTCTACCTTTCAGCTATTATGAGTAATGCTGCTATGAATATTCATGTGCGGGTTTCTGTGTGGACATATGTTTTCATTTCTTACGAATATTCCTAGAAGTGGATTTTCTGGGCCATATGTTAACACTATGTGCAAACATGTGAGGGGCTGGCAGACTGTTTTCTAAAGCAGCTGGACCATTTCACATTCTCACTAGCAGTATATGAGAATTTTGATTTCTTTCCTTTTTTTTTGTTCTCCCTAAAAGAGTTTTATATTCTAAAAGTATAAAGAGCAAAACTCTTATGCTTATTATATCTTTGACTCATTTCGAGTTAACTTTGTATTTGGTGTAAGAAAAAAGAGACCAACTTCATTCTTTTGTATGTAGTTATCCAGTTATTCTTTCTCTGCTGAACAGTCTTGATACTTTTGCTGAAAATCAGTAGGCCACAGATGTATAAATTTATTTCTAGACTGTCAAATTTACTCTGTTTATTGATGTGTTCATTCTTGTACTAGTATCACATTGTCTTGATTACCACTGTTTTGCAGTAGGTTTTGAAACTGGGAAGTGTGAGTCATCCTCCTTTGTTATTTTTCAGGATTATTTAGTGTATTAGTCCATTTTCTGTTGCTATAAAGAGATACTTAAAGCTGGGTAATTCATAAAGAAAAGAGGTTTAATTGGCTCAAGGTTCTGCAGGCTGAACATAAAGGAAGCATAGTGCCAGCATCTGCTTCTGGTGAGGCCTTTAGAAGCTTATAATCTTGGCAGAAGGTGACAGGGAGCCAGCATATCCCATGGCAAGAGAAGAACAAGGGACAAAGGGAGAAGGAAAGTCTCAGACTTTTAAAAATAGCCAGATCTCATGTGAACTCAGAGCAAGAGCTCACTTATCACAAAGAGGATGGTGCCATGTTATTCATGAAGGATCCACCCTCATGATCCAATACCATCCACTAGGCCCCACCTCCAACATTAGAGATCACACTTCAACATGAAGTTTGGAGGAGGCACACTTCCAAACCATATAATTTTCTCCTGCTCCCCGCAAATCTCACGTCCTTTTCACATTGGAAAATACAATCATTCCTTCCCCAAAAGTTCTGCAAAATCATAACCCATTCTAGCATCAACCCACTCAAAAGTCCAAAGTCCAGAGTCTCATCTGAGACTCAAGTTGTTTCTTTTGTCTACGAACCTGTAAAGTCAAAACCAAATTATTTACTTCCCTCCTTCTTTCCCTCCCTCCCTCCTTCCTTCCCTCCCTCCCTCCTTCCTTCCCTCCCTTCCTCCTTCCTTCCTTCCTTTCCCTCCCTTCCTTCCTTCCTTCCTTCCTTCCTTCCTTCCTTCCTTCCTTCCTTCCTTCCTTCCTTCCTTCCTTCCTTCCCTCCCTCCCTCCCTCCCTCCTTCCTTCCTTTCTCACAGTATCACTCTGTCACCCATGCTGGAGTGAACTGGCACAATCAGCTCACTGCAGCCTTGACTTACCTGGGATCAACAGATCCTCCCACCTCAGCCTTCTGAGTAGCTAGGGCTATAGGCATGCACCACCACACCCAGTGTTTTTTGGGTTTTTTTTGAGAGAGGGGTTTTGCCATGTTGCCCAGGCTGGTCTTGAACTCCTGGCCTCAAGTGATTCTCCTTCCTTTGCCTCCCAAAGTGCTGGGATTATAGGTGTGAGCCAATGTGCCTGGCCCAGAATCATTTTCTTAATTTCATTTTCAGATGTTCACTGCAAATGTATAGAAATACAATTGATTTTTATATAGATACTATATCTTGCAAACTTGCTGAGTTCATTTATTAATTCTAATACTTTTTCAAAAAGTAGATTAATTCATATTTTCTACATACAAGATCATATTATCTGCAAATAAATATAGTTTTACTTCTTCCTTTTCTATTTTTTTTTTTTTTGAGATGAAGTATAGCTCTGTCACTCAGACTGTAGTGCATTGGTGCCATCTTGGCTCAATGCAACCTCCGCCGCCTGGGTTCAAGTGATTCTCCCACCTCAGCCTCCTGAGTAGCTGGGACTACAGGCATGCACTGCCACACCCAGCTAATTTTTGTATTTTTTGGTAGAGAGGGGCTTTCACCATGTCAGCCAGGCTGTTCTTAAACTGCTGACCTCAAGTTATCTGCCCACCTTGGCCTTCCAAAGTGCTAGGATTATAGTCATGAGTCACTGCATCTGGCTTTCCTTTCCTATTTGGATGTCTTTTATATCTTTTCCTTGCCAAATTTCTCTGGATAAAATCTCTGGTAAATATTAAATAAAGATGATGAGTGGACGTTCTTTTCTTGTTTCTGATCTAAGGGGTAAAACATTCAGTATATCATCATTAAGTATGATGTTCGCTGTGGGTTTTCATAGACTCTCTTTTTTTTTAGGTTGAAGAAACTATTCCTAGTTTCCTGTGTGTGTGTGTGTGTGTGTGTGTGTGTGTGTGTGTGTGTAATACCATAAAGCCATGCTGGATTTCGTGAAATGCTTTCTGTGCCTCCATTGGCATGATTGTGTGATTTTTATTTGTTCTATTGATATGTATGACATTAACTGATTTTCAGGTATTTAATAACTTACATTCCTGGAATAAATCCTAGTTAATCATGCTGTATAATTCTTATGTGTTGCTGGATTTGATTTGTTAGCATTTTGTCACTTTTTGTGTACGTATTCTTTTTCTAAAGCTTTTCATGTATTTTATTTATTTTTTATTTCTATTTTCTATTATACTTTAAGTTTTGGGGTACATGTGCAGAATGTGCAGGTTTGTTGCATAGGTATACACGTGCCTTGGTGGTTTGCTGCATCCATCCCCCTGGTCATCTACATTAGGTATTTCTTCTAATGCTCTCTCTCCCTAATCCCTTCACCCCCTGCTATCACTCTTCTAGCCCCACTACCCCCTCTGACAGGCCCCAGAGTGTGATGTTCCTTTCCCTGTGTCCATCTGTTCTCATTGTTCAACTCCCACTTATGAGTGAGAACATGTGGTGTTTGGTTTTCTGTTCTTGTGTCAGTTTGCTGAGAATGATGGGTTCCAGCTTCATCCATGTTCCTGCAAAGGACATGAACTCA